CTGTGTCTCTCCTGTAGGTCTCACTGTCTCTGTGTCTCTCCTGTAGGTCTCGCCCTCTCTGGTCTCTGTGTCTGGCCCCAGTCTCTCTCCCTCTGCCCGGCTCTCCGTCTTCCCGGGTCTCGCTCCCGCGGTCACACGCACGCACACAGGCCATAAAAGGAAGCCCAGGCGGTGGGCTGGCCCCGCGCCAGGCCGGGGACCCGCGGGCAGCCCGGTCGCCCCGCTCCCCGCTCGGCACGGACTCCGAGGTTCCCGGTCCAGCTGGTCCTCCCTCCCCGAGTGAGTGCGGCGGCGGGCGGGGGGCGCCGGGCGGGAGACAACCCAAAAAGGGCAGGCGCGGGCTCCTTCCTGCGGAATTCCCAGCGCCGCATACCAGCCCGGGGCTGCCCGCTCCCCCTGACTAAATATGGTGCCGAGCGGCCTCCGGAGCGGCGGGTCGCGCGGGAGGGGCCGCGCATGAGAGTTCTGAGAGTTCTGCATCGCAGACCCTCTGGGTCCCGTCCCCATCCTCTCCATCAAGCTCACCTGGTACGCACCCCGCAACACACTCAAGACCTCCTAGCAGCGCTTGGCGGGGTGGGAAGGAGACCCGTCTCCCTGACTCAGAGCCCCAGTCCCACGCGGGTCCCAGCTACTTCCAGCCAGAGGGATTGGGAAGAGGGTTAAAGGAGTTGAAGACCCTTTCGAAGGCTCTGTGCTTGGCATATGCCCCGTCTTATTCCACAAACCCTCCCCAGCTAAACAGGTCAGGTAATGGGGGAGGGGGGGCTTTATTAATACCCCCATTTTGCAGGTGAGAAAACTGAGGTCCCAGAGGAGTGGCGCAGCTCTCACTGGAACTGGAGCCCACGATTGCCATGATTCACCTCCAGAGAGATTCTAAAGGGAACTGCCCAGAAGAGTTTGAGTTTGAGTCTGCCAGTGCCAATTTCTAGCGGCGGCTCCAGCAAGGAACTTGAACCCTGTGTCTGTTTCCCTACCTGTAAAATGGGAAGGACATCAGCTATTCCTGGCTATTTGTAAACAGTCCTTGAGATGACCAGGTAAAATGAACACATTACATTGCTTCCTGTTAGTTGCTATTATTCTCAACAAACCTGAAACCAAGTAGAGTGGCACCAGGCCTTGGGGACATAGTGAGTGAGAGCCTGTCCTGCCCCAGTGTTTGCCTACAGGCTTCCAGTCCCTCTTGGTCCCTTCCTCATCCTGCCAGCATCCAGCTCCCCTGGTCTTCACCCCCCAAAACACCCAAGCCCAGTCCCCTGCCCACAAATGGGCCTAAATCAAAGAGTCAAGACAGAGGCAGTATTCAGCTGGCTGGGGAAGTGAGGGATAAAGTTCTTCAGAAAATGATGAATGGGCTGCTTCCCCACGTGCTTTTTAATGTCTAGGCTGTAAAAGGAATGGAAACTGTCCCTGCGTGAGCACAGAAATGCTGTGAGCAGAGAAGAAAGGAAGGGGGAACTAAGTTGATCACTACCCTCCCCTGTTTGCAAAGATAGTCCAGAGCAGGCTGTCATAATCAAACTTGCTGGCCTCATGGTATGAAGTGGCATTTTTCCCAGAGGCATTTCAAAGGGATTGCATTTGATTCCTTAAAGAAATTGGTAACCAAACACTGAATTCTACTGCATCATCGCACTTAGTCTCTATAACAACCCTATCAAGTAGGTACTTTAAAAAATCCCCCACACTCCTATTTTGCTGTTGAGAAACCAGGTTTGGTGACTTAACCAGCTAAGGCAGCACAGCTAGTTAGTGGTGGAGCAGGAATTCAAACCCCATCTGTCTGATGCAAAGTCTGAGGTTTTTAACTCATGATCTGCTAACCACCAGCCAGGCAACTCCAGGATGGTCAGCGAACCCCTCTGAGCCTGTTTTCTGGGAAATGCTACAGGTACTCAGGAACAGTATGTGCACATAACAGTCATTCAATAAGTATCTGTCCAACGCAGCAGCTCAGACGTTTGGATTTTCAAAAGTGCATTGTTATCCCTGGCCTAACAGTTGGTTGGAGCGTCATCCCATACACCAAAGTGTTTTGAGTTCAATTCCCAGTCAGAGCACATACCTGGGTTGCAGGTTTCAGCCCCAGCTGGGGCGAGTACAGGAGGCAACTGATCAGCGTCTCTCTCACATTTGGTATTTCTCTCTCCCGCCTCCTCTCTCAAAATCAATGAACATATCCTCAGGTGAGGATTTTTTTAAAGTGCATTTTTATAATAATAATATAAATCAGATACCTCCATTTTATTTCTCATAGCTCAAAAATCCAGTTAAGATTGAGGGAAACAAAAAACGTTATCTTTTCTAAAATGTTATTTCAGCCAAGAACTGTCCAGGACGGTTCCCTGGCGTGTCTTTTCTGTGAGGTGCCATGTCCTGGGACTTCCCATGAACTCAGGAAACAAGATGGCAGAGGAGAAATTTTTCTCCTGGAGTCTTTTTACCAAATAGCTTTGTATCTGCCACTGGCTTAAAAAAGCTTCAAAGCATCCTCCCCTCTAGTTTTTAATATTTTCAAAGATTGGGTCCAAGCATGGTTTACTCCTGCACGTGCTGCACAATGTAATCATTTAAAAGTGTATCAGCCCTCAAGTCATCCAGCTCAAGATCTACACACAACTCTGCCTCCCTGTGCATAAAGGGGCCTCATTCCTCACCAGGAGAACTGTTCAGCTTCTTCTCTCTTGCACAAAAGCACTTCTGTTTCACCCACGACAGCCCCCACGCTTCTCCAGGTACAAGGCTACCTCACCCAGTAACCTGCAATGCTCTTTCCTTCCTCACCAATTTCCGATGCTGGTGTCCTAGTAACTCCAGATACTTCTCTACCTCTATCAGGAAGGGTCCTAAGATTCTTAATACAAGTAGTTTTATAGTTCCTTACAAAACCCAAGATAGTCTTACCATATGACCCAGCAAATTATGCTCCTTAGAATTTATCCAAACGAGTTGGAGACATGCCCATACTAAAACCTGCACACAGAGGTTAACAGCAGCTTTCTTTGCAATTGCCCAAACTTGGAAACAATCAAGATGTCCTTCAGTGGGTGAATGGATAAACTGTGGCACGTTCAGGTGATGGAATGTCATTTGGCACTAAAAATAAATGAGCTATCGAACCATGGAAAGACATGGAGGGATCTTAAATGCATAGGATTACGTGAAAGAAGCCAGTCCGAAAAGGCTCCATATTGTATGATTTCAAACATCTGACATTCTAGAAAAGGCAAAACTATGGAGACCATAAAAAGATCAGTGGTTGTCAGGGGTTGGAGGGGAAGGAAGGATGAATAAGCAGAACGAAGAGATGTTTAGGACAATGAAATTACTCATAATGGTTGATACATGGCATTATACATTTGTTCAAACCCATAAAATGTACACCACCACGAGTGAACACTGATGTAAACTATAGACTTCGGGTAATAATGATGTGTCAATGTAAGTTGATAATTATAAGAAATATACCCTTCTGGTAGAGGATGTTGATGGGGGAAGCTATACATGTTGGGGGAGGGAGGGAACCCAGGTATATGGGAAATCTCTATCTTCCTCTCAATTTTGCTGTGAATCTAAAACTGCTCTAAAAAAGTCTATTTTTTTTTTTAAAAAAAGGTAGTTTTACCTCTTTCATTTTAAAAATAATTTAAAGAAGGCCATGCAATCCTTGCAGAAGTTATTACAAAAATAAAATACCAAGTGGCTGGGAAGCATTGTCCCAAATGCCTTTAAAGGCATAGTCTCACAAATATTAATCCTTCATGTACACTTGGCTTTAGGTTAAAAGAACACATCAGATTTTACATAATCATACAGGCATGTGAGTCATATACAAATGTGTTCTTGCACATAATTATAAACCTATTAGTTTATTCTATGCAAACATATACGCTAAGCTTAATTTATCATCTTCAAAAGCCACTCGGCTCCTGCTTTGATTGCCCAAGTTTTAAATTTCCCCTTTTCCTAAATCCCTCTTTAGTCCCAATCTGCATACTATTTTTGTGTAAATCCAACGTTTTGCCTACATTTCTGGAAGATAACGGCTCCCAACAATCCCACGGGAACCCCCAACAATGATGTACTAATTTAGTTTGAGAACAATTTGATGGGTCCTCTGTATTTATATTTGTCTTTCCTTTTATTTTAAATGTCTCAGCCCATTTATCTTTTTAAATTACTGGATTATAAATTAGTTGACAGTGTTAAAATCCTGAGTACAGAAATTTCTAGAGCAGATTTTCTTAGCTCAAGATCCTCCTTTGTGGATAATCATAAAATCTCATAGTATTTTGAATATAGGTGTTTTTTTCTTTTCCAAACATAGAAATGTAATACTAAGCAAAACCATGTATGGCCCTGCCATTTACTGGCTATTTTACTTATTTGTATTTATTTATTTATTTTTGTACACCCCAGTGACCAGATATTATATAACAACATGTGATCATCTCAATAAATCTCATACCCATCCAACACCACGCCTAGTTATCAGAATATTGACTATATACATATTCCCTATGCTGTTCTTTACATCCCTGTGACTATTCTGTAACAACCAATATGTACTTCTTAATCCCTTCACCTGTTTTGCCCAGTCCCTCTATCCCCCTTCCCATCTGGCAACCAACAAAAAAGTTCTTTGTATCTATGCGTCTGTTCTGCTTGTTCATTTTGTTTGTAGATTCAATTGTTGATAGATACGTATTTATTGCCATTTTATTGTTCATATTTTTAATCTTTTCTTCTTCTTAAATAATACTCTTAACATTTCATATAATACTGGTTTATCCCCCCACCACTGCCACCTCTGAAGAGGTATTGTTGCAAGGTGAGAAGGCTGGTGCCAAGTGCACGTACATCGTGAACCTTGCCCTCCATCTGCTAACACCAGGTTGCTGGAGATCCCAAAGGAAGGCCTGGAGAGCCTTCGCCAGGTTCTGGTCTACATCTCTGGTGACAGAACAGTCACACAAACACCCTTTGCACACATGTGAGTTGTTTAATTTTTTTTTTTATTAAATGATACATTGAAAGTATAAAAGTTGCCTAGGTACAAACAAGTTACAGAATAATGCATATAAATACACAATGAACTACATGTGACAATTCCATTTAGCTTCTATTTTGATAATTTTACATCAGTATCTAAAATGCTAAACTCCAGCATTTTTTCTTAATCTAGTTCTTTATGATGATTGCAATTCCTGAGATAAACTTAGTGTCTCTGCTAACATCTTTGTATGTAAACCAAATCCTCTGAGAAAAATTCAGATATTTATAGTCCCACATACATTATAATTCACAATTATAATCAGATACTACAGATTTCACTAAAAAAATGGAAATGAGCCCGGCTGGTGTGTCTCAATGGATTGAGCATCGACCCATGGACCAGGAGGTCACACTTCCAATCAGGGCACATGCCCAGGTTGGAGGCTCAATCCCCGGTAGGGGTGTGTGTGGAAGGCAGCTGATAGATGTTTTTCTCTCATCGATGTTTCTATCTTTCTCTCTCTCTCCCTTTCCCTCTAACTAAAAATCAATAAAAACATATGTTTAAAAAATTGAAATGACCTTACAGTATTTCTACACCTATATATGTAACTTTAGGCCACCAATAGGGATTCTTAAAATCCTTTGACTTGTATAGTTTAAGGGGATTTCTTTAATAATTTTCTGTATTCAGATAAAAATTCCTGGTTAATCTGTAAGGACTAAACACTGACTAGTACCAAATATATTATGACGTTTCAATAATTTCCAGAGGCCAATTTTGCCAATTAAGCCCTTATCACTTTCCCTGTGGGAGACGTTTAAGCTAAATGTTGTCAGTATACAGCGCCAATGCAGTTGTGCTCTGAATGTATCAATGACTTTTGCCAGTCAGGTGCTGTCTACTGTAACAGATTTCAGTGAAATCAATCTGTAGATTCCACATTATAAAAATATCTTAATAAATATCAAAGCAGCATTTTAGAGATAGCACTAGGATAGCTCTTACTGTTTTTCTATCCGAAGAATAAAAATTGACATTTAATAAGACTTTCAGAGCCCAAATAATTAGGGGTTGGCCCTGTCATAGCTCATCTTATAATTGCACAACTGAAGGCCACATGGAGGTTAGACAATGCCATCTTTTAAAAGGTACTTTCTGGTTTTCTCCTAAAGCCTGTCTCTTCATGCTGATTCCACATTCTTCATGTAATCAAATAAACTCTTTGTTTTACTTACAGCAAAATTAAAAGAATTAGTTCCCCCTCTAGATTTTAATTAAATCTTCCAGTAGAAGCCAAAATGATCTAAGGAAAGAAAAAGTACATTGTTACCTAGTTTAAAAGTTCAATTTTAGATAGCAATTCTGATATTTTAATCTAATTATAAATAGCTATTTGAAAAACAGCTAATCAAAAAAATCAAACTTTATAAAAATTAGTTTTTTTTCTTGACTTTAGTGCTCTTTTCTTAAATTTTTTTTTCTATAAACCCACATAATTCCAGCCTGAAGGAAATGTAATTAATGTACATGCTAAAGAGCAGATGATATGGCTATAAATACCTGGCTTTTGTTTTTTAGAAGAATGTATAGGGTACTAACATTCATTTCTCCCTTTCATTTCTTACATCTAAGAACCTTTAAAATATATCCTAAAAACAGTACATTTTCTTTCAAGTCAAATCCAATAGCCTTGATGACAGAGTTAGCTTTTATTCACAAATACAGTAAAGCATGAAAGACTAAGTGTTTTACAGAAACTCAAATTTCTACAAAGTACAAATATTAGTGATGCATTTTGGCAATGAGAAAATAAATAAGTGATTTAATACATACAATTTTAAGATAAAAGATGCCCCAAATGGAAATGTCATCTCTTCACGTTTTGAGAAATATGAAGATCTTCAATATTAGTATTTTTCCCCTTCTCTTTTATTAGATGGTCATCTGAAATTAACAGAAATGAGTGTCAATGCTTATCCCAAATTAAAATAAGCTGTAGGCAGACACAGCTACATATATTTCAGGAAGTTATATATTTAAACTTGTATGCATTCTTTGGACAGCTTAGGACAATGAAAAAAAAAATACAACCTTTTAAACACTATTGAAAAAAATCAGAAATGTTTTGTACTAGGAACTCTAATTATTCAAAAAAGCTTCTTAACTTTTTAAAAAAGTGAATAGAGTACCCCCTGGAGTAAACCCATGGTAAGTAGCTACAAACTTCTCTTATGTTATATGTAAGGAACAGAATTCACAAGAAAGGCCAGGGTGTTTAGCATTCTGAGGGATGGTAAAGCTCTTCAATCAAAATGAAAAACCACCTTTCTTCAAATAGGCATGTCTCCCAGCAGCACCCTCTTGTGACAAGAAGAAAACTAGCACAAGTTACATTTTCCTACGCACATCAGAAAACTATCCAAGAATTTGTAGAAAAAGTTCTTCAGCCAAAACCAAAACAATAAAGTTCCATGAGAGTTCAGAGGAGCCCAGAGCCTCTACGAGCACCCACTGTGCTCCCGCCATAGTGAAGAAGAGGCTCTAGTCACTGCTCAGTTTCTTTTGTCAGTGTGTGTGTGTGTGTGGGGGGGGGGGGGGGAGGGCAGAAGTGTTCTAGATTAAAAGAACCTAAAAAACTTAAAACCCAATCACCGTAGCCAGTTTGGCTCAGTGGATAGAGCATCCGCCTGCGGACTGAAAGGTCCTGGGTTTGATTCCGGTCAAGGGCACATGCCAGGTTATCAGTTGCAGGCTCAGTCCCCAGTGGGAGGCGTGCAGAAGGCAGCCAATCAATGATTCTCTCCCATCATTGATGTTTCTATCTCTCTCTTCCTCCCCTTCCTCTCTGAAATCAATAAAAATATATTTTAAAATATAAATAAATAAATAACATAAATTAAAACTTAATACCCAATGTAGACAAAAACACAATGCACAAACGAAATCCCTAGGAAAATGTGACACCTCCCCCCACCAATTCATCAAATACTTTTTACAACAGAAAAAATATAACCTTTTAAAACAGATATTCTGAAATATTTTGATTAATTCTGATTACATGAGAAAATACAAATTTAGACAAGTTGTTAGAAACATGCAATTTTAGCACCAAAAACATATATTAGATATTCTAATTCTAAAGACAATTTGATTGTACACACAGTCTTATTAGTTAGTCCACAGCTGATCACTCTTAGAAATAATGTAAATGCTACTACAGATCTGGATCTCAGATAAAAAACAATCTCCTTCAATTTTAGGCAACTTTATTGGACTAAACAAAATTAATACTATCTTTAGGACATACGCTTTTTGGTTTTCTATAAAAGCATTATTAAAAAATGAAGTATGTTTTTCATGTGCTTCTTCATAGACGTGTATAAAGCTGAGTTGATAATGACTTTACAGATTATAAAGGATCTGGTCTTTTATGTACAGCAACAACTACTACTTTGCCTCCAATATGACAAGTATTAATATCAACAGCACTATTTCAAACGTAAGTGTGTCTATATACATTCTCTTCGTTTTTTTCAGCACTTTGAAAGCTTTGATAAAAGAAGTACTTTCATGCTGGCATGCTTTGACTTATTTTCAAATAAAAGAGAATTTAAGTTTACTGTTTTACATTTCAACTGGATGAACTTGTATAAAGATAAGGTATTGTAATCTGAAGAATAAGTATTTTAACATCTTCATAATCTTGTCCATGTTGTAAAATAAAACATGTATCCTTTAAACAATAAGCTAGAGTTGAGAAAAGAAATGGAATGTTACTGAAACATAATGCAGTATTGTGGGTGTTTTTTTATTAATTAATTTAAGAGAGAGAGGAAGAGAGAGCAAGAGAGAGGTGAGAAAGATTGCCCCTCCTACATGCCTCACCCTAGATCAAACCCACAACCCAAGCATGTGCCCTTCAGGTGCATGGGATGATGCTCCAACCAACTGAGCCACACTGGCCAGGGCTACATAATGCAGTTTTGGCTGACAATTCACAAGTCATTACATAAAGAGGCTAAGAAAATTTTTTGTGATCAAGAAAAATAATTAGCAAATTCACTATTCTATTGGTTCAACAGTCATCCTCATTTCTGAGTCTTCCACAGAGCTTTCCACAGGACAGGCACCAAAGCTTCACTGACTAGAACTTGACTCTGATGTCTCTGGCACTTTATACAGGAAGGACCCCTCCCCAGCCCACACTACCCACTGTGTATAGGCTACCAGTAGTTAATCCACGACCTTCATCTCAGGAGAACTTATGTAAGAAATACTCTATTTCTAACTTTCTTATTAGTCATTAGCCATATTAAAGAGAATGATTATAAAAAGCTTACAAATCACAAAAGTTATTTCTCAAGAGGCTATTTTTCCTCATTGGACTGAAAATACAAATGTCATGGGTTTGCTGTGGTAACAAGTGTTAATGTGTACAATATCCACTGGTAACAATGAAACTAAGAAATTAGTATTGTTATTTATTCTTGGTGAGCATAAACTGTGAAAGCCTTTTTGGAGGAAAATCAGACAATATTAGATTATTTTTAAGGCACATATGCTTTGAACCAGCAATTCTACTTCTAGGTATCCAGATGAGAAATACCTGTGTGAAGAAAGAAATAATGCTACACTGCAATACTGTAAAAGCAAAAAATAAAAAACAGTAAAAGTACATCAGTAACGAGTGATTAGCCACACTATGGACTACTACAAAAAGTTAAAAATGAGGGGAAGTAGATCTACATATATTGACAAAATGCAAATTATAGAATAATATATATAGTTAACAATGCATATAGGGGTTGGCAAAAGTAGGTTTACATGTTCATATGGAAAAAGACATGCAGGTTATGATTATTGCATAGCTTTCTTAACTCAAAAGAATGTTATGATGGCACAGTGCACTTAGGAACAATCTTGTAGGTGCTGAAATTGCCAGCCTTCATCATTTACACATTCTTGTAGTCAGTCTACTTGTTATACTCAAACACACTTTGGCACAGAGTTATTACCTACTTTTGCCCACTCCTGTATTTTAAAGTTTAACTATTTTTTAAATACTAATGTGGTAATGCATGGCTCACATTCCAAAAGGAAAATAAAAGGGTTACAAATGTGAATTTCTTTACTCCTGTCTCTAACCACGTATATCTCCTCCCAGGCACAAGATATCAATTCCTTGCCTGATTCCTGCAGATTTTCTATCCAGTGCCTGTTTTCCTTTGATGCTGCTATTTGGAAGTTGTGTAAAATTCTCGTAATATTAACTGTTAGTAACACTGTTTTTATATACAACCGAAGGAGGGAGGTTTGGAACAGAGCAGCAGGGAAACTACAGAGCACAAAGGGCTTTTTAAAATAATGCCTTCCCCCTTTAACCTTTATGTTATAATTAAGTGTTTAATACCCTATTCTGAAATAGAGTTTCAATTTCCTGCTTCTGTTTGTCATCTTACTCAAAATTTTGTATACTTTTATCTTTCTGTTTCATGTAGAAGAAAGAATTCCTTTCATTTCTTGTCACGCAGGTCTTGTGGTGATAAACTCCCTCAGCTTTTGTTTGTCTGGAAAAGCCTTTATTTCTCTCTCATATCTAAAGGATAACAAAAATATGTTAACGTTTCACGAATTTGCGTGTCATCTTTGCACAGGAGCCATGCTACTCCTCTCTGTATTGTTCCAATTTTAGTGCATATCAGTAGTACTTGAATACACAGAAATGAGTCCTGAAGGACACCCACCAAGTTGCTAATGGAGTTAACTTCTATAGAAGGGAGGGTAATTGGGGAGTTAGGGAGAGGCAGGAGGGAAGAGATGAAAGGGCATGTTAAGTTATATTATTTGAATGTTTAGAGATTTACTCATGTGCTTGTGTTTTGTTTTGGTCTTTAAGTACCTGCTAAAAAACAGTTCCTTATCCAATCCCTAAAAAGGGAGCTAGGAAAACCCCATGTTCTTTAAATGATGAAGTGTACAGGAATGGCAATCAGAGGTGCTGATGCTGCTAAAAATGATCAGCTACAGGCATCAAATGAGTCATTCACCTCTTAGTCTTGGTTTTCTCTAATATAAATTAGTAGCTGGGAATGATTTCTTTTCCAATGTTCCATCAGCTCAGAAATCTAAGATATATAGAAAAATAAGTCCTAGTGAAGTCAGAAATAACCTTAAAAAGGCCACCAGCTTTCACATCTTAAAGCTAATATTTAACACTAGAGGCCCGGTGCACAGACTCGTGCACGGGTGGGGTCCCTCAGCCTAGCCTGTGCCCTCTCGCAATCTGGGACCCCTCAGGGGATGTTGGACTGCTGGTATGAGGGATGTAGTAGTGCGCAAAGTGGCAGGCAGCTGGGGAGGAGCCCGAGCCCTGGCCGGGTGCTGTGCTGCTCCCGCTCATCCTGGCCTCGCTGTGCCTGCCGCAGCAACCGGTAGCACTGTGCGAAGGCGGGAAAGGCTGTAGCCATGAGCCCAGCGTCTGGCGCCCAGCAGTCAGCTGAACGGTGCTTCTGCTGTGGGAGTGCACTGACCACCAGGGGGCAGCTCCTGCATTGAGCATCTGCCCCCTGGTGGTCAGTGCATGTCATAGTGACCGGTCAAATGGTCGATTGGTCGACTGGTTGCTTTGAGTTTTATATATCCTATTATATAAAAAGCCAGGGCCCTCACGACCTAAACAACCAGACGGATGACCCAACAGCGACTAGGGTCCTGGCTGCTGCGACGGGATTGAGTCTGGGTTTCGGTCAGCACTCGGGAGTTGGTCTGGGTCCTGGCCGGCGTCAGTCTGGGTCCCGGCCACCTGCGGCACAGTGGTGGGAGGGAGCTGTGGGGATGGAGCCATGCTGCCATCAGATTGGCCTTTGGGTCCCTCTCCTCTCCCACAGGCTCCGGGGAACCAGAACCATGCTGCCATCTGGGAATCTTGGTCCCTACCCTGTGCCCCCAGGCTTTGTGGAACCAGAGCCAGCTGCTTCAGACTGGCCTCTTGGTCCCTCCCCCCTCCCAAAGGCTCTGGGAAGCCGGAGTCATGCTGTAATCAGACTGGACCCTACCCAAGGGCTCCCTTGGTGTGTAGGCTGGGCTGAGAGACCCCCCTGAGTGCACAAATTTTTGTGCACCGGGCCTCTAGTATATAGATAGATAGATAGATAGATAGATAGATAGATATAGATAATCAATATTGCTCATAGAAGTTTAGGAAAACAACAAAAGGCAATCCACATCTAAAATGTTTACTAAAAGTTTATTTCAACATTCAATATTTATATTTGTCTTGATAATCAGCTGTCTGAAACCCACCTGACCTTTATTTTTTAATTTGTTTTTTAATGTTTGTATTGGTTTTAGAGAGAAGAAGGTAGAGGAAGAGAGAGATAGAAACATTAATGATGAGAGAGAATTACTGATTGGCTGCTTCCTGCATGCCCCCTACTAGGAATTGAGGGCATGTGCCCTGACCAGGCATGCGCCCTGACCAGGAATAGAACTGTGACCTCCTGATTCATGGGTCAACACTCAACCACTGAGCAGTACTGGTCAGGCCCACCTGACCTTTTTAAAAATAGAAATCAACTTTCTCTCTCAGTAAGCCACAGTGCAACAGTGAGCTCTAAACCATTTAGTTCAGATTATCAAACTGAGGTCCTACTGCTGATTTAATAAAAAACAAGCTCATTTAAAGAGTGTGCATCCTGAAAGAATATGGGCTATTCTCCTCAGATTTTATTTGTAGATACCTACCACTGTACCACAACAAAAAGTATCCTGAAAATGCAAAGGACGCATAGTAAACCTGTGCCTTCTCTATCTGTATTCAACATGTTTGCCTCTTTTTAGTCTTAGGTGGGAAAATACATGATGATTCTATAGGAAGCTATTTATTCAGTATGCTAAGAACTAAGCTGCTCCAGAAAGTACAAATTTATATGAAATTCTATAGAGAAATTATACCTAAAAACTTTGTCCAGTCGTCCACCTGCCTTCCCCCAAGATTCTCTTTCCAAAAAACTTTTTGGTTTTTTTTGGAGGATAAACAACATGGGTTAAAACCATATTAGATATAAGTGGAATTAAACTATGACTCAAAAGCTTGGGAAAATCTATTCCAAAGATAAAAATATATAAGAAGGCAATATCCTTGCTAACAGCTAAATGATAAATCTCAGAAAGCTCATACCCATTTGCTCTCTTCCACTAGGTTGTCTACCAGGATTTGCGTTTAGAGGCTGAAGTGAAGATCCTTTCAGGAATGTATGTTGGATGCCATCCTTAGTTCCATGCAAGAAGTGAGCTAAAATCCCATATAAAAGAGGTCTATAGCAGGAAGAAAACCAAAATCAATTAAATTTGCATGAATAGGAAAAGCTTAAAACATCTATGCTTTAAAAGGTAGCCTCTGACACTAAAACAGCCAAGTAATTCACTAGACTTATAAAATAAGGTTGCATGGATATTATACAAATTGTAAACTGTTCATGCTTTTTTAAATTTAAAAGTACTATTTTACTCTAAAGATGATTTTAAAACCCAGGGAAAAAATGTTAACACCTTAAATCGCATCTAAACTGAAATACAATTTCAATCAATACACAGGAGGAATTCGGCTTGTAAACTCCAAAATCCAGCATAAAATTTTTCAGTACCTAATACTGACCAATACACACTAGGTATTCAATAAACACTTATTGCATTAATAATCCTTGCCTAGAGAAGGTCTGATGTCCCAAGAGACACACTGCCTGGTTTTAAACTGCCTTTGCCATTTGATCTCAGCAAGATTTTTTTAATTGATTTCAGAGAAGGAAGAGGGAGAGAAAGATAGAAACATCAATGATGAGAGAGAATCGTCGATTGGCTGCCTCCTGCACAACCTCTACTGGGGACGGAGCCTGCAACCCAGGCATGTGCCCTGACTGGGAATTGAACTGCGACCTCCTGGTTCATAGGCTGATGCCCAACCACTGAGCCACACCAGTCAGGCAGCAAGATTCTTAATGTCCCAGCCTCATGAATGTTTCCTTCTCTGTAAGTTAGGGTAAGTGTAAACCCTACCTCATAGGGTTATTATGGACCAAATGAGTCAATAAATGTCAAGTGTTTAGAACTGTGCCTAGCACATATTAAATGATATGTAAATGTCAGCTATGTGGGAGTTGGGTAAGAGCTAATATTTAAAAAAATACTTGAGTTTACAAAACACTTCTGCCTCTTTTCAGTTTACCCTCACCTTGTGATGTCATAATCATCATACCCAACTTATGAGAAAACCACAGCTCAAAATGAATTTTCTAGAAATCCCTCAGCTAATAAATAAACAACCTTTATACCTGAACCCCAAGTCCCATACACTTTTCAATATGCTGCCTGGGATTTATATTCGTCCTCTTGCACAAACAGAAGCTGCCCTGCTGATAATAGAGGTACAACAAATGTTTTCCTTCATTTCCAATCTCATAATTGAAAACAAAATTTAATGGTTTGAGTTTTTTTAGATATCTATTTACTTATTAGTAGGTGTGATGGTTTAAATTATGACATTCCCAATGGACACAAGACACTGGGGGGTAGGGGAGGCCGGGGGAATGTCAAGAGCGGGGAAAAAAAGGAGACATATGTAATACTCTTTGTAATACTTTAAGCAATAAAACAAAATTTTTTAAAAAAATTATGACATTCCCTTCCCCTCAAAAGGTGGTGCCTAACTGCCCTCCCCTTGAGTGTGGGCTAAACTCACTTGTAATGAATCAAGTTCATTTAAGTAACAGCACTCTGCAACTTTAGAGACTAGGTTATTACAGCATTGTGGCTTCATTGTGAGTCATCAGCATGGAGATATCATTAAAGACTCAAAGAATACTTAGAAACGTGGGCAGTGAGACAAGAAGAAAAGGATAGAACTTGGGGAGTGCCCACAATTTAAAGGAACCCCAAAGGAACCCAATAAAGACACTGAGAACACCATTAGGGAGGCAGGAAAATCAAGACAGTAAAGGATCACAAAAGACAAAACATTTTTTATGACAAAAAATGTTTTAAGGAAGAGTGAAATCAACATTACAAAATGCTACAGAAACTCAAGGAGAGACTTGGTACAAACTACAGAATAAAAGTGGCATATGACCCTGGAACCATTTCATACAAAGATTTGTGGGAAAGTTCATTTTAATCGGTATGTCATTTAAAATATTTTTATGGTAAAACAATTATACCATAAAGTAGGATGAAAAAATTCAACGAATTTTTGGGAAGAGAAAACGTAAGACTTCAGAACAATTCCTTGCTAGGAAAAGACTGCTTTGAGCTATGTTCCCAGGTGCCTATATGCATTTTTTTTCCCCATTCAGGGATCTTCCAGAAAATGTTTAATTAACACTGAAGTGGGAAAAGAACTAAGAAACTACTAGAAAGTGGCTGGTCTTCTTTTTAAGAGCATAGCTTTTTGTAAATGGTGTGGGGAGAATTTAAGATATAGGGAAGACCAGACTGGATAATAAGCAGAGGGCTGATTTTCACTAAGTTCAGTGGTAAAACGGAGATTGAGCAGTAGCTTGGGGTTGGACTGGGGTTGGAGGGTTTTTTTGGAGAGGGGAAATCTGAGTACATTACTAAACTGAAATGAAGAACGCTATGGGGAGGATGAGTTATATCTGAGGAAGAAAATGATCGATAGGGCAAAAGCATCAGAAGAAAAAAAGGATGGATCAAAAAGCCAAGAGGAGTGCCCCTTAGGAAGGGGTAGGGCTATTCAGTCCTCTGAAATCAGGGGAATTTTGGCTCCAGAAAGCAGAGACCTCATCTGACCCATTTACTACTCCATACCTTGGATTTGGGGCAGTGCTAGACAAACACTAGACCCAAATAAATACCTGCTGGATTAAAATGAAATAAAACCTCCCTATGAGATTGTGACTCCAATACAACAATATCTGAAAGTTTATTTTAAAAATTAGTTCTTACATTGTATTATCCTTTGATTCTTCAAATGCATTTAGTTCTCGGATGAGAAACTGCCGGTCCAGTGGAACTACAGGTTGACCAGATTCTAGGGGGAAAAAAATCATAAAAACACTGAGTATCAATCTAAAAAGCAAACATAATTTTGTTAAGAAACATACTTACCAGATATACACGTTTTTCAGATTTTTGGAAAATAATGATGGCAGATGCAACTTATGCTTTTATGACTTTCAAAATATTTTGTTAAATATATAGCTTAATACAGGTGATTTCATCTAAACTCATTTTTAATCTAATTTTTGGTTAGGGAAATACTGTTTCTGCAATACTAGCCTTCAGCAGTCTGTTTTTATGAATTCAACACACGACAGTACCAATATCCATTTGGTGGCAATAACTCTAAACATAAAATTAACCTGAATATTAAATGCTGGCAAGGATATAGGGCAACTGGAAACCTCATACTTTGTTGGTAGGAGAGCAAAAATGGTACAGGCACTAGCAAAATAGCTGAACAGTTTCTTATCTAGGTAAACATATACTTACAACACACAACCCAGCAATCCCACTCTTAGCTCTTTACCCAACAGAGAGTAACACCTATGTTCACACAAAAAGCTTTTGTGAATGTTTATGACAGCTAGATTCATAACTGCCAAATGTCCATCAACTGACACAATGGAATGTTATTCAGGGAAAGAAAAAACTCAACATGGCTGAATCTCAAAAGTATTATGCTGGAAAAGGAAGCCAACTCCAAAGTCTACATCCGATATGGTTCTATTTATAGGACATTCTGGAAAAGGCAAATGATAGGCAGAGAAAACAACAGGTCAGTGGTTGCTAGTGGTAAAGAAGTTGACTATAAAGGGCACAGAAAATTTTGGGGATGATGGAAATGTTCTCTATTGTGACTGTGGTGGTAGTTACACAACTGTATGCACTTGGCAAAATCCACAGAACTTTATACTAAAAAAAGTAAAGTATATTGTATGTTGTATATATCTCAATTTTTTAAAAAAAGCTAAGACATTTAATATGAAACTTGACTATTGTCACTATATTTCACTCTAGGGAAGCTCAAGTCCAAGGCATGTAATTAATAGTATTTTCATAATGTTCTTCTTTTCTGAGTATTAATGGTATTATCCAAACATCTATAACAAAGGGAGGAAAGTGGAGATACTGATATTAAAGTCCCTGAAACCAATAAAAATTATCAGTTTTTATTAAGATGTGTTTAATATTAAATAAAAGATCTGTAATGGAAAGTTCTGGCATCACAAAGAATTCATTCTCTCTTCCAAAAATCTACTTTATGAGTTCTTTTCTTTGATGAGGACATCTTTAAGTCATGAAATAGTTTTAAAGCATAGATTAAACCTTAAGGGAATTAGCTCTGGAAATGTGGGTCAGCTGGTTGGAGTATCGTCTCATACACCAAAAGGTTGTGGGTTCGATTCCCGGTCAGGTCACATACCCAGGTTTCGGGTCTGATCCCCAATTAGAGCATGTTTGGGAGGCAATTAATCAATGTCCCTTCCTCCCTCTCTAAAAAAGGCAAACAAAAACACACAAAAAACCTTAAGGCAGTGGTTCTCAACCTTCTGGCCCTTTAAATACAGTTCCTCATGTTGTGACCCAACCATAAAATTATTTTTGTTGCTACTTCATAACTGTAATGTTGCTACTGTTATGAATCGTAATGTAAATATCTGATATGCAGGATGGTCTTAGGCGACCCCTGTGAAAGGGTCGTTCGACCACCAAACGGGTCTCGACCCATAGACCCGCTGCCTTAAGGGAATTAAAGTATGTACAGGGTGGGGCAAAAGTAGGTTTATATGTCCTAATCACTCAGATGATTTTATGTCTTAGTCCAGCCATGGGCAAACTACGGCCCGCGGGCCGGATCCGGCCCGTTTGAAATGAATAAAACTATTGAAAAAAAAGACCGTACCCTTTTATGTAATGATGTTTACTTTGAATTTATATTAGTTCACACAAACACTCCATCCATGCTTTTGTTCCGGCCCTCCGGTCCAGTTTAAGAACCCATTGTGGCCCTCGAGTCAAAAGGTTTGCCCACCCCTGTCCTAGTCACTCAGATGACGCTGTTTTGTAATGGAATTAGATTTTCAGGCTAAATACTTAGAATTGGTGGAAGGGAAGAAGATTTTGCCTCACATGACTAATGATACCTCTTACCTGCTATGAGAACAGATGATGTATACTTATATTTGTTGAATTCCAAATACTCCCGGATTAATTCATTAATAAGAAGGTTTTCATGAGACAATGTTGGTCGGGGTTCACTTTCATCATCTAGGGCTTTGAAAACTTCGGCTCGAATTCTCGCTTTTAAATGCCCTAAGACTCCTCTTTTTTCCAAGGTGTCCTTTAAAACTGTTAAATATAAAACATTAATGCTTCAACTATAGAATAAACTTTGTCATTCTTAGGCTTACTTTAAAGAAAATGATTTAAAAGATAAATGGCCTAACAACAGCTTTCAATCTAAACACTGTGATGAACTGAACAATGATCACATTAGCTATCACAATCCATGTTTGTAATAAAAAATAAAGTCCCCAAGTTGCAATGATGTACTATTTTAATGTATTTAAACAAATTCAAGTTTATTCTTCCAACATTGTCACATTTCTGGTTGAGGAAAAAAGGGGGAATAGAACTATAGTCAGCACACTGGGACCTGAACTTAACCTCCAGTGTCTCATATATTTTCTAGAATATTTATCACTGCAGACAGGTTCTGCGTGTCCCTAAAAACCTCTGGTCCAGAAAAAAAGATGATTAAAGATTATAAGTACACTCCATAAAAGGAAGGAATGTGCCCTGTCTTTTGTATAAAAACCTTTGATATCCAGAACTCTTGGGGAATGGCTCATTCTAAATGAAAAGGTGGGTTTTATGTTAGGGCTTTTGTTTGTTTGTTTTTTAAAGACAATTATGCATTACTTCCTTAAAACAAAAGGATTTTGAAATTTTAAGCCTAGTCAGAAGTCTAACACAGAGTTTATCACTGCCCTCTTGAGAAATCAAGACTATATATGCTCAATGTAACCTAACTGCTTGATGAACAAGGGTCATTAAAACAAATATCAGCAGTTGTGATAATGAAATTTAGCAATAAATATTAGTATGGAGAGTAAAGGCAAGGGCTGAATTGGCACCATCACTTGCAGGGGTCTACAACCTTCTTTTTTTTTTTCAAATTGTCCCTAATGGCTAATTAACTAAGAACTCCAGAGCACCAACACATCTCACCCACAGTGTCTAGCCAGCCGTGGACAAACTACGGCCAGTTTGAAATGAATAAAACTAAAAAAAAAAAGACCGTACCCTTTTATGTAATGATGTTTACTTTGAATTTATATTAGTTCACACAAACACTCCATCCATGCTTTTGTTCCGGCCCTCCGGTCCAGTTTAAGAACCCATTGTGGCCCTCGAGTCAAAAAGTTTGCCCACCCCTGGCTAGACCAAAGTAAGAGCTTAATAAATGCTACCTAGGAGCATTATAATACAGTGCTGTATACTACTGGATGTAATAAATACAGTTTAATACTGTACTGTGCCCTGTCAAAGGCACCAAATAAGTAAACAATAATGAAAATTAATAAAGAGAGCCCAGGAACATAAGTATTTTTTAAGCTTTGATAAATAACAATAAAAACCCTGCCTGGCCCTAGCCGGTTTCGCTCAGTGGATAGAGCATTGGCCTGTGGACTGAAGGGTCCCAGGTTCAATTCTGTCCAAGGGCACATGCCCTGGTTGCCGGCTCTATCCCCAGTAGGGGGCGTGCAAGAGGCAGCCTATCAATGATTCTCTCATTGATGTTTCTGTCTCTCTCTCCCACTCCCTTCCTCTCTGAAATCAATAAAGAAATATATTAAACAACAACAACAAAACAAAAACCTTGCCTGGTCAGCATGGCTCAGTGTTTGAGTGTTGACCTATGAACCAGGCACCGTTCGATTCCCGGGTTCGACTCCTGGGTGGCCCGGGTTTGGGGCTCAATCCCCAATGTAGGGCATGCAGGAAGCAGCCAATCAATGATTCCCTCTCATCATTGATGTTTCTATCTTTCTCTCCCTCTCCCTTCTTCTCTGAAATCAATAAAAATATATATATTTTTAAAAACCTGGTCATATAATTAAAGAGATACAATCTAGATTAGACTTTAACCTTTCTTACCCTTATTTTAAAATCATCCTCTCAAACTTTTGTGCAGGCATGTTAAGTACATACAGTTATCACCAAATCAGACTTTGTAATAGGCCCATAAAAGGAACGTACAAACTTATCGTATTCTTGGGATCGTAACCTAACCCCTGTTCTCTAATTCCATCTTTGGAAGTTTCATAGAGATATTTTTTCCACTGGCAAGGAGGATCTTGTCCCAATTACTCTGTAAGCACACAGCACAGCCTCAAACTCAGCCGAGAAATGAATGAAGCTGGAGTTAAGAAACCTAGCATATCGCACCACCACCTCGGGGGCTGATCGCCTCCTTGGGCCTCAGTTGCCTCTCCAACAAGATTCTGCTTCTCAGAGACAGAACCAAGTGAGGTGGGAAAATGGGAAAATGCTTAAAAAAAACAACAGCTCATAAAACATACATGATTGGCAAACACATTTTCACTGAGTTTCTCTTGGACACAAAGCATATTCAGAACTGGGGCATGCAGAAAAAAACCATACAGGGCTCCCTACCTCTGTGCGGGCACCCCCAATTCCCGACTCACAGACAGAGTTCTTCTAGGGTCCCGTTTCATTTTGCCCTTCCCTCTGCCATCATGCTTAGAACACTGTGCCATAACCACTTCAGAAATGGGCTCACCCTGACCGGTTTGGCTCAGTGGATAGAGCATCAGCCTGCGGACTGAAGGGTCCCAGGTTCGATTCTGGTCAAGGGCATGTACTTTGGTTTCGGGCACATCCCCAGTGGGGGCAGGGGAGTGTGCAGGAGGCAACTGATCGATGTTTCTCTCTCATTGATGTTTCTGACTCTCTCTCTTCCTCCCTGTAAAAAATCAATAAAATATATTAAAAAAAAAAAAAAAGAAGAAGAAGAAAGAAATGGGCTCATAACCTGGTGTGTAACCCTAAGCATAACGCCTCTGAAGTTGTGTGCAATTCTGTGTGAGGTGCTTCCCAGGGAGAGGGCGCACCGATTTCCGGGAAGGCTGTTCTTGCGGGAGAGGCATGCCCACCGCGACTGATTCATCTCCAAGAGATGCCGCCCCTCCCGCCAAAGCTCCGAGAATCACTGACTTCAGGCCCCTGAAAACTGGAACTGGTTCCACGAGTGGGGCAGTGCCACGCCCCATCAAGACCTGAGCTCCTGCCCTGGCTGGTTTGGTTCAGTGGATAGGGCATCAGCCTGCGGACTGAAGGGTCCCAGGTTCGATTCCGATCAAGAGCATGTACCTGGGTTGCAGGCACATCCCCAGTAGGGAGTGTGCAGGAAGCAGCTGATCGATGTTTCTCTCTCATCGATGTTTCTAACTCTTTATCCCTCTACCTTCCTCTCTGTAAAAAATCAATAAAATATATTAAAAAAAAAAAAAAAGAGACCTGAGCTCCGGTGCAGCGTTATCTGTCCTCACGCTCCGCCTCCTTCTGGCTGGATCATCTCGGGTGGGCAAGCTATTTCACCTCGCAGCACCCCAACTTCCTCATCTCTGAAGTGGGCACGGGGTCGTCAATGGGATCAAGTACGTAGCACAGGGGCCGGGCGTGCCTGGCGTATAAGGCTCAAGCGCCGGCAATTATAATCATGAGTACTCCCGTCTGGACCTGCGCCAGAACTAACGGTGCACAAACGTTATCAGCCTAAGGACTCTCGCCTTTGCGGAACTTTTCCGACAAAGACAGCAGAATGACCAGGCCGGGCAACTTTCTACCCCCCGTTTTTCCCGATGGAAAACCGGGCCCCATCTCCCAGTTTGCAAGGATGCAGAAATGGCTTAGGGTCGTGCCTACCACCTAGAATGGTTGTGGAGACTTGTACACATTATCCTCGCGTGGATGGCCCACGCCAAGGCGGGTCCAGAAAGAGGCGCCAGAGGCCCCGGGCGCAGGACTGCAGACCTCCCAGGCACCTGCAGATTCTGCGACTCCTGCTCCAGCTCGAAGCCGGTTTAAAAACTGCCCCGTGCAATCCGTCCCCTCCAGGGTCCTAGCACAGCGGCCACCACAGCAGCCGGCTGCGCAGGCCCTGGCGCCGCAGAGAGACCGCCCGGAAAGGCTGACTCCTCTCCGCGCGCCCTCCTTCCGACCCATCCTTTTCACGGGCTGCGGATCAGCTGCATTCCACCTGGCAAGCCCCCCACTCGCACTCACCAGCCTTCAGCTCGGTGACGGTCGCCATTTTTAACGGCCGCCAGGGGCGCGTCCCGGCGCTGCGCACGCGCAGCCCCGCCCCGCCCCGCCCCGCCACGGTCTGTAGCCAATAAACGCGCCTCTCTCGCCGCGCCCGGCCCCGCCCCTCTCAGTTGACGCGATTGGATGGGCGGTGACTGTCCCCAACAATCAGCGAGCGCTCTCGGCGGCGGAGGAAGGAGGTGGAGGCAGGAGGGAAGGGGAACGCGGGCTGCGGCAGGTCTGAGGCCTTACCTGTGGGTGTTGCTGGTACCTTAGTGCTTAACTTTAGCCCCGTCAGCCTTTCCTGATCTGCCCACTGCTCGTCTCTGCAGCCTCAAGTACTAATTTTTAATCGTTACCATGTATTGAGCCTGAGCTTTTAAAGCTTGAGCATGCATCAGAAGCATCTGGAAGACCTGTTATAAAACAAGTTACCCTGGAGTAAATCCTGATTCAGTGAATCTGGGGTGAGGTCCAAGAATTGCATTTCTGACAAATTCCAGGTGACTCTCGCGGATGCTGCTGCTCTGGGGATCACACCTTGGGAACCACTGCATTAAATGCTTACTATGAGCCTGACACTGTGCTTAATGCTTCATTGATTTTTTTTTCCTATTATTACTCCCAATTTGCAGAGGAGAAAATTTGAGCATTTAATAACTGAAGAGACTTCACCAAAATCATCAGCAAATGGTGGAGGTGAGGTTCCTGGCCTCTGGCTCTTCAAAGCTTGTTCCCTGTCACTGATACGTACTACTATTAGGCAAATGCATAAGAAGCCCAAGAGCTATTTGTAAAAATAATTGATGAATGAATAAGCTCTAGCATCCCAAGGAAATGAAGGAAAAGGAAATGGTAATAATGTACCCAAAACTGAGTGTGAAGTCCTATGAGTCCAGTTGTATTGCCAAGAAGGCCAATATCTATGACCTTGATCCTAGAACAGTACTCTTTAGACTGCTGGTCTTAACCCAACAGTGGCTTTTTATAAAAAAAATATATTTTATTGATTTTTTACAGAGAGGAAGGGAGAGAGAGAGTTAGAAACATCGATGAGAGAGGAACATCAATCAGCTGCCTCCTGCACATCTCCTACTGGGGATGTGCCCGCAACCCAGGTACATGCCCTTGACCGGAATCAAACCTGGGACCTTTCAGTCTGCAAGCTGACGCTCTATCCACTGAGCCAAACCGGTTTCGGCAACAGTGGCTTTTTGAAATCTATTTATTGTGGATCCCAATGAGCGTATTTTCAATGAAATGGAATAAATAGGAAACAAGTGTTGTTTTTTTGAAACTTTGGTTTGGGGTATATATGTGTATTTTGGTTCCTGGTGTATTTCCTAAAGTGGGTAGCAGTCAAAAAGTTTGAAAGCCATTGTAACCTAGGGGAATCCATTTCTGTTCCAAACTAATTTTGACCTGAGACAGATCTGTCCTGTTACCTTAGAAAGGTCCTGCCACACTTCCCTGTTCTGCAAAACCCACAGTACCTGAATTCCTGGCCAGCATCTGAAGAGATGGAAAAGGTTTAACTACATTCTATAGGTAGAATGTTTGAGCTCTTCAGAGAAAAGCACTCCTGAATATACTGATGATGAACTCAGAGAGAGAGAGAGGCAAACAAAAATGGAATGGATTGATTAGTAGTAATCATACAATAATTAACAGCCATTGACACTCTGTGTGGCAGGCACTGCTCTACGCTGTACTTTACGTCCTCAACAACAACTCTGTGAGGCAGATACACAACAATCATCTAAAGTACAATTTCATTTAAAAAAAACATACAGAAATTGAGTAATACACTGCGTTGGTGAGGAGGTGGGGAAATGTGCATTACATACCTACCTGGTAGGCGGGTAAATTGGCTCCACCTTCTCAGAAGGCTGTTTGGCCATATTTAATCAACCTTTCACACCCTTGACCCACCAATTCTAGTTTTAAGAATATACCTTACAGCCCTAACCGGTTTGTCTCAGTGGATAGAGTGTCGGCTTGGCGACTGAAAGGTCCCAGGTTCGATTCTGGTCAAGGGCATGTACCTTGGTTGTGGGCACATCCCCAGTAGGGAGTGTGCAGGAGGCAGCTGCTCGATGTTTCTCTCTCATCAATGTTTCTAGCTCTCTATCCTTCTCCCTTCCTCTCTGTAAAAAGTCAATAAAATATATTTTTTTAAAAAAAGAATGTACCTTACAGCCCTAGCTAGTTTGGCTCAGTGGGAGAGCGTCGGCCCACAGATCCTTCAATTCCATCAGGGACACGTACCTCAGTTGCGGACACAATCCTAGCCCCAGAGGCAACCAATCGATGTCTCTCTTTAATGGATGTTTCTCTCTCTGTCTCTCCCCCTCCCACATTTTGTAAAAATCAACAGAGGAAATATCCTCGGGTGAGAATTAACAACAACAACAAAAAGAATGTACCTTATAGAAACAGTCCCACCTAATTATGAAGGGTGTATGTACAGTATAAGAATATTCATGAGTATTCATTGCAGTGCTGCTTATAGTAGAAAAGTCTATTTACCTATCAGAATGGCTGAAAGAAAAACAAATGTCAATAAAAAGATTGAATACTGGGGAATATGCATATCTTGCTGGTGGTATAGTCACTTCAGAAATCAGTTTGGCAACTGCTTATTAAGTCAGTGCTTTTACACTACAAGAGTTGAGTACTTAAGGCCTTGGTCAGATAGCTCAGTTGGTTAGAGCATTGTCCTGAAAACCAAGGTTGTGGGCTCAATCGCTGGGTAGGGCACAAACAAGAATCAACCAATGAATGCATACTAGTACTTAAGTAGAACAACAAATGAGAGAGAGAGAATTGATGTTTCTCTCTCTGTCTCTCTCTCCTTCCTCTCTCTTTAAAAGCAACAAATAAAATTTAAAAATGAAGAGTAATTAAAACAGAGACCATATGGTCCACAAGCTTAGATTATTTAAACTAAGGAAAAGTTTGCCAATTCCCGAATTCTTCTTCTATAATTTTTTGAGGCAAGGGGTGTATTTTTAACACATCAACCATTGTTATATTCTGAGCAATAAACATAGCAACTAACATTTATGAAGCATGTGTTATTTTACCTCGTCCTAAAAACAACTGGGAGGCAGGTATTATTATCCCCATTTACAGAGAAACTGAGATGTGGAGAGTTTAAGTAACTCTGAGTAAGTGGCAGAGTCAGGACTGGACTCCAAGTTCACTGGCCACATTCAGCTATTTCATCCTGAAATAAGAAGCACTTTCTCCCTTTCCCTTCCCTCCACCGCTGGGCCTCTGCCTGTGCCCTTCCGTCAGCCTAGAAACTTGTTTATGTTCTCTCCTCTCACTTCCTAGTTAATTTCCACTCCTTCAGGTCTGAGTTTATACCTCATTTCTTCCTAAACCTTCCCTGGCTCTATTGGGTTCCTCTTCTTAGATCTATTTTGGGGAGGTGAGGGGTTGAGAAAACGAAGGGGTATAGATACGGGAGAGATGTACCACACCTATCCTCCCCACACCCACACCCAGGCCCAAGGCCTTCTTCTTGGGGGCAGACCATTTCAATACCTGGTCCATGTTGGGATATAAAGGTCCAGCTTTCATACCTCAATTTGGGACAATCCTTTGGGATCCCCTGAACTTCAGAACTTCCTGAGGGGGTAGGTTGAGGCATTTGTTGAAGTTGCTTAGCCACCCAACTTCCTCATCCACTCCCCCAAATCCCCCTCCCTATGTGTGGATCCCAACAGCCCTCCCTAATAAACTTGCTGTGCCTTGATCTTGATCAGTTGGTCCCCTCACTGTTTTACTTCCCAAGGTTCTGGAGGGTGACTCATCAGTCAGCAATTTGGAGCAAAGAGTGTTCCCTGCATTGCACCTGGAGAGCAGCAGGCAGGTTAAGCATACAGTGCTCCTCAGAACTCCATAGAGTTGCCCCACCCTGCACCATCGCCATGGCAGCTGCCTATGTACACTGGACTGTGACTCGTCAGTTCATGTCTGGTGCCCACACCGGACTGCTTTGCAGGACAGAATCCTTGCCTACCTTGCTCATCTCTGGTATGACAAATATTTCCAGGATGACTGAATGAAACAAGTCCTGAAAGGTAGCTCAATTCACAGTTGAAACTGATATCCAAAAGAACTAACTGGCCCAAAGCAATTAGACTATGAGGGGTGGAGCTGGCCCTTCTCCTCTGTTGTAGTGATGAGAAGTGGAACCCATGGAGATTAGAGGTCCCAACTTCTGCACTTAGGGCTAGGCTCCACAAATCCAGAATAAAACACAAACTAGTCCCAACGGAAACTGAAGAGTGTACAGGGAAGGGCTGCCAACCAGGACGGCAGGTTGGCATCACCTAATGGCCGCCAGCAGAGGGAAGACAGGGCGTTCTCTGTAAGTGAGGCTGCTCCATGAAGCATGCCATCTGCCCTGCACATTCCGAAGCCAGGGCTCCTGGCATGCGTGTTCACAGCCTTGAGCACTAGTGCAGACATGGCTGTTGGAACTCCACAGGCAGAAAAGTGGTCCTGCTCCTGGGGCCACACTGCCAGGAGTATCTGGGGGCCACCCCCTACCCTGAGGCCTGGGCTTCCTTCTGTAAGACAGTGGCACCCAATGACCTCTATGGTTATTGGTTACTGGACTGTGGGCCTTGCAAGTTCTGATGACCAGATAGCATGTGAGCTGGGATTTGGGAGGCCCTGCATTTCAATCCCATCTCTGGCTCTATGACTCGGATTTATGGCTGCCTGGATCTCAGGCTCCCAATGGTTCAAAGCAGGGGTGGAAACAGGTCACCCGTCCACCGCTTCCTGCTGGAATATTCTAGGATTCTAAGCTTGCTTTTTGCTCCTAGGCCGTGCTATTCCCACTATCACCGCTTCTTGTGGCTTCCAGACGACAAACATGTGTTGCTTGTGCCTGATGCGGGGAGGCTGGTGTGGAGGCTCTGCTCTCAGGGCTAGGCTGGGCCTTCGGGGCTGGGCTCGACTCTTTGGGGTTCGCTCAGCTTTTGAGGGCTGGTTTGCTCAGCTTTTGGGGTTCGCTCAGCTCTTCGGGGCGAGGC